ATTGCTCCCGGGCAGTGTGGTTTCGCGCTTTACCTTTGTGTTCGCAGCCATTGTGATTAGAGTTCAAGATGCGCTCCCTGATAATGATATCTTTTGACCGGGACTCGTCGTTGTGAATGAAGATCGGACGTCGCGAGAAATGGATTTGTCGAAAGGCAAACAACCAAGGACAGGACGAGATGAGACGATCGAGGAGAAAGGCGCTCTTTGCGGTCGACACGAGATGATGCAAGGAACAAAGGGAGATGGAGAACAGGACGAAATGAACTGAACTGAATTGAATTGCACTGAATGATTTGCCGCTGGGGCGAGCGGATTCTAGCTTTGAATGTGTGGAGAGACGGAGAGAGACGATTCGAATGGGCCAAATGGGTTCGAAAAAAAGGTCAAAGCAGAAGAGTCAAGGGTAGACTGAAAGTGACCAGGAGAGAGAAGGGGAACAAGGCCTGAAAGGGGAAAGGGTCGAAAGGCCAGGTTAGGAAAGCATCCTGGAAGGGGAGCAAGGGACTGGGAAGGGAAGGGGAAGGGGGGCGGAAGGGGGGCGTCGATGGATTGGGACCTAGGAATGAATGGGGCAGTTGAGGGTACTGGATACTCTTTGATTGTTTGCTTTTAGCATCGAATCAGTGGCAATTTGAGCCCTCAGCAAAGTATCCAAAACTTTCAGCCAGTTTCTCGCGCTTGCTATGTGTTTGCACTTGCTCTTCTTTCTCTCACTCTCTTTTTTAAACTTGTAGAGAGACAAGTATCCGATACACAACGACAAACAAACAGAGACTTGGAGATGATGGAGTAAGGAACAGACGGGAACGGGTTTCTCATGGCTGGGCTGGGCTGGCCTTGTCTCAATCGACAACTGAGTATCACTCCTACTCATAAAGCGCTCAGCACGCACCCAGAATACCTACACCAACACTAACACCACAGCACCATCGCCATCACCCGCCCCACGGCTTTCCAGGTGGTCAATGTCTCTGGGCGCTCCCGAGCGCTGAGATAGATCACTAGCATGTACTCCGTAAGTTAGTGACTTACACAGAATGAATGGAGGGAGGGATCACAGGAGACTACCCGTTCCCGTCCTGTCAGTGGATATGTATCTAGACCTCTGGAGGGGAACACCCGATGGCCGGATTGGTGGCTAGACTAGGGTCGATAAAGCCCAGCCTCTAGTTAGAGTGCGCGTAGTGGAGTTACGGTATTTAGATGGAGAGAGGTATACTCCGTACAATCCATAACCTGGTATCATGGTTAGAGGCGGCAAGCTTGTGGTTGTGTTGGGCTGTTGGTTAGTGATAAAGCATCAGGATACAGAGTACGGAGTATGTTCTATGGAATCTAGAAATGCCCGTTTATGGCATAGGAGAAAACGATTCACTGTTAATTAGTGTAGTGAATCACAGGATGAACCTATCATTTGCTCTATTGCAGCCCTACCACAACGCCTAGGGGTGCCCGGCCATGCCATTTGATTGAAGCCTCTATTCCAAAGAGAATTATGCCAAGAGAAGCGTTAACAATATCACAACAAGAGTGGTTGCAAAACCAACAGCCCGGGCAGCGGAATTTACAGTAGCTATTGTATGTTGTGGCTGTCTTGCTCTTGTCATTTGCCAAGTTCAACGCGGCGACTGACAAAAGTTTCGTAATGAGAGGCAAGAAGGGGGGGAAAGGCTCTGAATTGATAACTCAAGAGCAGATTTTTTTTTTTTTCTTTCTTTGCCATTCGGTCGCCTCCGTATCTTTCGACTCTTGGGCTGATCATGCCTGCAGCAATGATTCATTGTTGAATTTTTGGCCCCAGCGGGCTGTCCGTCATTGATTTACAGCGGCCTTCCAGCAGCTCCTCCACTGGACAAGCACACGAGGTTGGTAAGGTAATGGATGGATGGGTCGGGGCGTGCGCACGAAGCCCAACTTAACGAGTCGGGTGTGGGCCAAGACATGGGGACCCTTGCTTGTGCTTGTGCTTGGCCTTGCAGTTGCTGTTGAGCAGCAAAAAAAACACCAGTTGCCGCTGGTTAACAATTGGTCTTGTTGCTCCCTGTTGCTGGCCTCCTCCACGCAGTTCTGCAAGGGCAGCGGCTGGCTGCGTCTGCTCTACCAATCGTAAGCACACCACAGCGTGCTATGCAGTTGATTGTGCATTGTCCTGCACGTTTCGCTGCAGCAATTCCTCATCGTATCCGCGTGCCTGTGTTCCCACAGCAGATGCATATACTATAATTGATGAAGCGATGGCCTCCAACAATACCACACACGAAGTACTTATCCGTATCCGTTCCTTTATACCAGATCACACTCCTCCCACTGTGCAGGCCGCAGACCGACGAGGGGTGGCAGCAGAAGTGGGTGGAATAGGGGCAATGGATTAAAGTCCCTGAATGTTGTAATAATTTGCTTACCAGGCCAAGGGTCTCTCTCTGTTCTGGGGCCGTCTCTTCACCTGGGCTCGATCCATCACAACACCGAGCTACTGGTCACTGACCAGCAACAGCAAGCGAGGGTGTAGATCCTTAACGGCTACCCAGGCCAGGGCACGCCTCATCCTTGGTTGTGATATGTCAAGTCTAAAAGTTATTCCGCGCTTTTTTTTAAGCTACGATTTATAGAACAAATTAGCCAGTTCTTCTTACCCCATCGTCTTGCTCGCTAAGGCAGGAGAATGGACGGCGGAACACCCCCCGAGATACACCGGCGCCGTGACCCCGGCCTTTTCGGTCGAGCCATGTAAATGAGGCCGACCATCCATACACATTATGTACCGTTGATAATTGCGACCGCCGGTATCTACTCCATCTTTCGTTTGTTGTTCCTTAGAATATAGGTAACCTAGACATTACTTTACAACCTATAAACAAGATCAGACGAAACATAAGTACTTAAATTCACAATTTTTGTCGAGTAATAGAGCCCGGCTTCCACATAATGGCCATCCTTGGAATATACTGGATAGCGATGTTATTTCCGTAGCATCAGACATGTCGCATGGTCCCTTTCAATTCTAATTGCTCATTTCAACTCTACTGTTTGTTCTTGATGGCCGTTGTTTGTGTGTTTCTTATCTCTTCGACTGTATACATCTAATAGGCCTATGTTCACCAAGTCAAGGAATAAGCGAAGTGATCCTTTGGCTTTTCTTAATAGGGAAGCCTTCGTTTGAACCATACGGAGTACATCGCGATACGAAATATAGCCTCTTAGGATAGGCCTCATACTTCACCCATTACATGGAGGGCACCGTTATCGCACATTGGCGAATGGCTAGTCCTGTTCATCATCAGCATCTTTCGTTCGGTCACACAAACCTGAGCGGGTTCCTCTTGCAACAGAATCTGCGTTCTTATTGCACGGGTATAGATGGTTGAGACCTTGTAATCACTTTTACCATTTCGCGCCCAGATATCCAGTTATCACTCGAATTGGTCGTCTAGACGGTCGCCGTCACCACTAAGTAACTTCATCATAACCAATTACATCCAATCCCATGGCCCAAGCGCAAGCACCTTCAGAGAACGTTATTAATAAGCCGTGCCTTGTCATGATTTAACCAACAATAAATTTGTGACAGAAGGAAGAAAACCCTTTTCATAAGCGCCAATGATGACATTGGCGTGAGTCCATTATCCATACTACATAGCCACTCTCTCATGTCTCGATCTAATGCAGATCAACGTTCCTCACCCCTTACTCTCTCTCTTTCCAGGTCCCCTGGACCTGGGGAATGAATGGGGTGACAAGTTAACAAGTTCCGATGCTCTTAATCTCAAGTCGGTTAGCTCAGAGTCCAAGTCCAGGGTCATGGTTCCTAACGTGCAGGGCGGTAGGAGTGGTGCTCGACTTCATTGCCTTTCGCTAAAATCTGCTGTGATGACGATGTACGATGTTTTATCTGGTGGAACTGGAAATCACACTATTTATATGCAGTACGTACACTATCATGACGACTCAAAGCAACGTTTGGGCTGAATTCAGCAATCAACATAAGCTGACCGTACCTATTCACAGCTTTACTCCCTAGCCTGCACCTAAATAGTGGAAGTGTCTTAGTGCCTGCAGGACAAACGTTTCACTACGCTCATTGTTCTTGTTCCTTTCATCCTCCAATGTACAGCCATTCAACGTTGCAATGGCCAGCCGCCTTCGCCAGATGAAGCACAACAACTTTCCTGCACGCCGTACTACTAGCGTTGGCGCGTTTGAGGCTGTTGAAGATGTGACGGTGTGTCAACAGGTTCAAGCCGGGTGGGGGTTGATCGATGCGTGGCGTGGCTAGGTCGATAACCCAATCTGATGGCTATGATACAGATCCTAGATAACTGCCCATCTCAAAACATTACATAAGGGTTCTGTTAGGCGATATGAAGAACTAGATTCCACGCAGCGATAGCTTCAACTGAGCTTATCAAGCCGAGCACTCTTATCACTTCGAAGATCATCCCGGGCTAAGCAATTTTCACTGATAGTCTGCGATGACTGGGGCTTATGTCGAACAAGATGTGACGGGAACAGGTCAACACAAAGCATGAGGCATGAGGCCTGGAGCAATTACTGAGTAAATTCTGTATGTTAGTGTCTGGTCACTTGAGTCTGGGTGGGGGTTGGTTCCCGACCTCAGATGGAAGTTTCAGTAATTCGTTCGGAAAGCGTGATGAATCTACAAAACCAATCACAGGCTCAACCAATAACACATGATACAAAGAAAACTATGCTCTGCCAGAAATCTCCTCAATGGGCCAGGAGCTGAAAGCCAAGCTCGTACGTTAGGATAGGGCTTCTGTCAAGTAAACGGGTTAGGATAATGGTTAGCAGACGAACAAGGCTGTCAAACAAGCCCTTTGCCGAAACTTTGACGAACTGTCTAGTGTCAGTCTGAAGCCCACACATCGGTTAACTGGCTATTATGTTTTGCGAGTTTCAACGGCGAGCATGCCTGGGAACCGATTCCGACTATGCCTGTAGGGTCCGCTACGGCTCTTCCCTAGGGCCACAATATGTCATCATAAGTAGTGTTCTTTACCCTAGAAGAACAGGAGTTGCATCAACGTACCTGAGAAAGAAACGTGAAGAGTCGTTCTTCAGAGTATGATCGGAATTGGGTGATGGCCGTAACCACGTCGCGTATCGCATCCCAGCGTTCAACAGTTACTCCCAGAATATCCGTAGCGGTTGCCAAAGGGCACCTAACAAAAGGTCGAATCATCTCGCCAGGCCCTGTCATACCTGATACCTAGGTATATTGCGAACACCAATTGGCGCTGAACCCTCACAGGTAGACACGTCCACTCTCTTCGTCAAGCGAGCGACTGCTGTACCCCAGCATTCTCAGAAAACTGGCAGCGTTTGGAGATATGCTCCGAGTTTCTGAAATAAATTATAGTCTTTCCTACGAGCCGAAGAGCCTATATGATTTTACAGGGGGGAAGAATATCTGTTTGTAAGTACCTATGCTTGACGATAGAAAGAAGTAACTGTGATATTGCGGCTCGACGGGAGTTGTGGGGTTAACGTGTGGGGCTTCTGTCAGACCTGCAGCAGACACGTGATCCTGTAGTTTAAGGAGAGGATGGGAGCTTGAAGTACAAGGTGGTTTATAAACTTCTTCAAAAACTCAACAAACAATGGCACGAATCTATCCTCCCTCAGCCCTTCGTGAGAAATTGTACTGGCATGCTGTCAGTTGTTAATTCAAAGAATCTTCGCCTGTGTCACTTGAAGTTCTGCTTCTTGACTCTTTCGGCCGAATGCAAATACACGCAACGTCAGTGCAATCAAGTTGAATGTGAACGATCTCCAACAACTTCTATAGTAAGCTTCTAGAACGAAATGACGTCTTTTCCATTTGCGTTTGCGCCCGTCCCCACCAGTTCCAGGTTGTGGTCCACTTCGATATGTCCCTAGGACTCGTCCTAGCAACAGCCCCTTTTCGGTAGATTACGCTCTGGCTTAGTTCTATGCCAAGCGCATATCACGACATATTTCAATCTCCCCCTCAGGTGTCGTGGGTTTGTTCAAGGTCTAACCTCTGATCTCGGCGCCGATCATGTCACGAGCCTTGCTATCGCCGCCACGATGTGCCTAAGACAATCTATCGACTCCACCTCCACCATCCTCTTTGTTCATACCCCCTGGTCTTCGTCACACCCCAGGTTCCTTATAGGCAAGAGCCTCGAGTCAGTTTCCGCATATAGCGTGCCATCACATGAAGCACGAGTCCCTCTGTAGCCTTCTGTTGATGTTCACGCGTTGATCTGCAACACAACAGATCACTGGCCCCTCTTGTTACTCAAAATCGTATGATATTATGACTTTGGCAAGTCAACTTGCTCAACGCCGATACTACGTTACGGCCCCTCAGGGCGTCGGAGATGAGACTTAACTCTGCTCCATTGTCTTATCTCGGTTGCCAACCCTAAAGTCAGTATGGTACAACAAAGATTCAACACCTTTGCCTTGTACCAGGATGCACGACATATGTTTCATGTGTTGGCCGCAAGTGCTGAATCCACAGGCGATTCAAAAGTTGTCAAGTACCTATGCAGGTAACTGCGCAGCAAAATCGATGTGCAAGCCCAAGTGCCAGATTTCATCAACGTTGGATCGCTCTGAGATACCTGCTGTCCAAGAATGCTTCCCATGCAGCTCGTCTGAATAAAAAGCGCCATGATCGAGATGATCAGGTTTTGACCGTCGAATCACCGAAAGTTTCAAGCCCGTGCGCCAGTATCAGAATGCAACTCCGAACATTCTATAACACTCGTCTACATATATTCAAGGATATCAACGAAACATGCAATATAGCCAATGGCAACTCTTTACAGAGTTCCAGCGGATGTTACTGTGATCAGCGCAACTACAACCCGCCACCATACCTTGCGGACTTCCAAATATCCAAGGATCCCAGCTATCAAGATATATCAAGGTTTCTCAGCAACTTGCTCCGTGGTGTCCTTGTCCGCGTCTTCGGTTGCCTGCTTCTTAATCTGCTTCGGGTCTTCTTCTCCGTCACTCTCAGCATCAACTCGCAGACCCTGGATGCCAGCTTGGACTTCATCAACGAGACTCTCAAGATACTCTAAATCCCTATATCTGTGTCAGCATATTTAGCACTTTAGCATTTGGTAATGTTCCCTGCTAACCGTCCAACAAGTGTGACCGTGTTATTTTTGCCCCAGCGAGGATAACTCCCGACCTTGACACCCTTGGGCCCAACTTTGGCAGCCAAGGTTGTGAGGTAGTCGGCAACACCACTCTCGGGAAGAGGCGTAGAGAACAGTACTCTATGCGTACCCTTCCCTTCAGGGTCACTGAGACGCGGCAGGATGTGAGGCTTCAGCCCATCGAGAAGTCTCTGAACTATTTCCGGTTAGCAAATAGTAAGCGGCACTCAGGAAATGACTTACAAAGTCTAGGGATACCCGGCAGGATATGGATATTTCCGTTCACGACTGATACGGGAACCCAAAGATCATCATGAGGGAAAAGAGCCTGCTTCTTAAGGTCCCGAGATTCATCAATTGGCAACTCAGCCATGCGAAGCTTTGCCCTTCTTGCTGGCGAGTCGACATCCCAATCGAACTTGGGTTGATTGGGATGAACCTTTGACATCAGCTTCATCTTGTCAAAGGTTTCTTGGTGTAGTTTGAGAGGCAGGTTGAAGGCCTTGGCGATCGATTGGTAGGTAATGTCGTCGTGTCTAAGATGTTAGTATACCTTCTGTCAAAATGAGGGTAGTGAATCCTCACGTAGGCCCAATCCCACCACTGATTCATATTAGCTAGTTATTCAATCCCCACGTAGCGTCGCCGAAGGACTTACCTAGTAACAACAAAGTCATAACGGTCACTCATTCTCTGAACAGCCTCAACAATTTCGCCTTCATCGTCCTCTATCACCTCGATGCGCTTGAGGTTCTATATCTATTTAGCATTCGCGTATTCTTAGCTACCCAAAGCCAAACCTACAATTCCGAGGTTGAAGCACCATTTGGCGAAATAGGCAGAGTTGGTCTATCTCGATTAATACAATAACTTGCTCATACTTCAATCACTCACATCGACTGTCTGCATTCATGATGTCAGTTACCCCATTCTGTTACACAGACAGTAAGATGTATTCAGAGAACTATACCTTTCCGCCTAGAACTTCGTCACCGATGATCAAACAGGCGGCTGTAGAAATGGTGCGCGAGTTGCGCTCATCTGCCGATTTAGGAGCCATGGTTCTTCCTAGGGCGAATCGTCTGGTGTTGCCAACAACGGGAGCTGAAAGATGCCGGGTTACCTGAGAGATGCGTGAGAACATGGATGGTCAAAGTCAGATGCAATAAGAGAGCTTGAGGATCAGGTGATTAGGCAGATAGCAGGGTAAATATGCAAGTTCTCCCTTTATTGATCCAATGTTGTCTCGATTTCAACAGCCTGTAGATGACGTTAACTCGCTGCGCTAGACAACCTATGGCGGGACAATGTGGGGTCAAGTCAACGGCTACTTACTGTACTCCGTACATACCTTACCTAGGTACCCTTTGGCGGGGCATTGGGCTACACCAACTTTACTCGACTGATAACTGCTAAACAGAGTTGAGGTATCAGACACAGCTTTGAAACAGCTACAAAGGGGGCCTTACCTATTACCAAAAAGCCTAACCGAGCTCCAAAATGGTACATACACTCACACCTCTTCCTCTCCGTCTCCGGTTCGCCCGCTGACATCCTACGTTTAGGCGTCGGAATCGCGACTGTACACCTTCTCTGGAGAGTCAAAGGACCACCTCCGCAAGTTTAGACTTACTACTTCTCGGGCCAAGGATCCCCAAGCTGTTATTTGTATGTACGTCTCTTTGTGATAAGACTTGAAGGTCGTTGGTCTCCTTTCTCTTGCTAACCGTCCCTCCTGTAGACCTGATCGATAAGAACACTTACGAGATCCGACAAGACGAAGACAAGACCGTTTATACTTCCCTCGAAGAAATTGGAGATGACCTCCCCGATCATGCTCCTCGATTTATCCTCCTGAGCTACCCCCTCACCATGGTATGTATGACCGAGCAACTGTCAGGAATGCTTGACATTTGACATGATGCTGAGATGAGAATAGGGCGATGGGCGCTTGTCTGTGCCATACGTACTTATATTCTACCTCCCCGTTACCTGCAACGCCGAGATCAGAATGCTCTACGCCGGCGCCAAGGAGTTGATGCGTAACACGGCCGAGGTCGGACGAATTATTGATATCGAGTCGGCGGAAGATTTGGAGGAGATCCCCGACAAGCTCAAGTCAGAGTAATCAAGAATCACACAAAAGAAAGGCAACGTGGTGTGGCAGCGAAATCCGTATATCATGATCTACATAAAAACATAACTTGAAGATACCTGCCTACTCATCCGGCAGCACATCCTGGGTGTTTAATCCCAACTGCATCGCAACATTCTTGACAACTCCTTGAAACGCAATGCAGGCGGGGCTATCTGGGAATGAGTCGAAGTAACTCTCTCCGTAATCACATGCCATCCTGATTCTAGGGTCCAAGGGCACTGATCCCAAGAAGGGAATGCCCATCTCTTCAGCCAGCGCACGTCCTCCTCCTGTACTTGCTTTAAAGATCTGACTTTCGGTTGAACACTTGGGACAGACGAAGCCGCTCATGTTCTCTGCAAGACCTAGCACCCTTATTCCGGCTTTACGGCAGAAGTCGATCTCTTTTCTTACATCCAAAAGTGATACCTCCTGTGGTGTGGTGACCATGACAGCACCATCGATCCCACTCTCCTTCAGGAATGAGTTCACACTGAGATGCTCATCGCTTGTGCCTGGTGGTGTGTCGACAAGTAAAAAGTCAAGGTCACCCCATTCCACATCCTTGAGAAATTGCTTGATCAGACCGTTCTTCTTGGGTCCCCGCCAAATGACAGCGTCATCCCGGTTGGGCAGTAGAAACTGAATACTCATGACCGAGAGATTGTCCATGACCCAGATAGGGGACCAACCTGTACCACTGACATGCACAGTCTCGCCCTCCACGCCCATCATCTTGGGGATACTGGGTCCACAGATATCAGTGTCCATGATACCCACGGTGCTGTCTGGATTTGTCGCGAAGGCGTGTGCCAATAGAGATGTAAATGTACTCTTTCCGACACCGCCCTTTCCGCTCAGTACTAGGATTTTGTGCTTGACATTCTCCAGACGCGCCGAGATGATAGGGATATCAGGGTCCGGTCCCTTGGGCGCTGATGCGCAGATGGCCTGGTTTGGACACCCGGCGCATGCGTCCGCTTTACCGGCTTGCTCTGAATCGGGGCCAACACAGTTCTGAGGCTCTGGCGCAACTAGTTGCGGCTTCTGTTTGATCGGATTGGCGAGGACGTCGTCTACAGCCTCTGGGGCCTCAAGAGAAGGCGCCATTGTCTTTTTGTGAAGTGAGGTGAAACAAGGGAAAGTGAGTCGGGGGTGGCGACGTGAGCTCGAAGCTTAATAATACAGCAAATTGTAGGATTGTCCTGAACAGTGAGGAAAGAGTGGTAAGAAAGAAAAAGGAGCGAGGGCTAATTCCTCCTGATTGGGATCTGGTATCTTTCTGGATTAACTTTTGAGAGAGTCCAAAGAATGTTGATGAGGTTAAGATAATCGATGTGGTTGTTCCTAGGGTAAGTGCTAAGCGTCTATGTTGATTGGTTGCTTAGCAAGCGTCCGGAGATGTGAAGTATCGCCGCGGAATAACAGATGCCAACCTATGAGTCAAGAAACATTGAAGTGATAAAAATCTAATGAATATATCGATATATTGAAGTTAGCTCTAAGGGGAAAGTTGCGGAAGGTGAGATCAATATACGAGTCCCCTAGATCTCCTTGATGTTAAGACATTTTATTCACTGTAAGAAATATTGGGTTAACACGGAGTAGATCAGGGTGAGTCAAGTGTCTGAGAAATCAAAGGGAACTCGATAAGCTCGGACCGTAGGCTCCTCAATATGTCTGATGGATACCTATAGAGGAAAAAATGGCCTTTCCAACAAATGCTTATCCAACGACTTACTGCTAGAAGGTAGGTAAGCATTAACATCTTCGTACTATGTATAAATATCCTCAAAACCAAATACTTCATTTCATTCCCAGTGATATGGCTCAATAATAAGAAACTGTACTAATGTTTAATACTATCACTGTTAGTGATGTTGGTATGAAAAGCCTCAGTGGTCGCAGGTCACTCCAAAAACCGTTGCATCAACAATAAAAGATATTTTCAAAGTTTCCTGCCATTTCCATTATACCCAACACGCTGAAAGCGCGCCGGTTATCGGACCGGCTAAAGGCGGTCGGTGATCTGCCCAAAACTCATGACAGGCACACCTAAAAAAAAAAGCCGATCAGTGGCGGGGTTATTTCATATTTATCTGAGATAAGATAAGCTCAGGACCCCGCGAAGATTTTATTCTGAGCTGATCTAGAACACCCTACGATACATCAAGATCTGTTTCCAATCGATAATCCAAGATGTCTCTTTCTGCCGATACCCCAGAGACCTCCAAATCCGCCGATTCCACGGTTCTGAGCTTGAGGAAATCCCTCTGTTCCGAGGACACCCCTCTTCCCATCCGTTTTCGTGCTCTTTTCTCACTGAAGCACGTTGCGACCACCTCGGATGACGATACTACAAGGATTGCAGCCATCGAAGCCATCGCTGCCGGATTCACCTCACCTTCAGCCTTGCTCAAGCATGAGCTCGCATACTGTCTAGGACAGACAGGCAACATCGCTGCTGTCAAGCCTCTCCGACAGGTTCTGGCTGATTTGAAGGAGGATCCAATGTGCCGCCATGAAGCTGCCGAAGCCCTTGGAGCCCTAGGCTGGGCCGACAACCTGGATATCCTCCGCGAGTACCGAGATCGCAAAGAAGAGGACATAAGCATTATCGAGACATGCGAGATCGCTATCGAGCGCATTGAATGGGAGAACTCAGAAGAGCGTCGAAAGGAAAAGTTGCGCCCTAGGTTTGTGCAAAGACTTATTAGGGTTGCCCCAGATTAACATTTGTCGACTAGTGATTTTGCCTCTATCGATCCTGCGCCCCCAATGCCCGAATCTGAACAGAAGGCCGAAGTCGAGGAGCTTGGCCACAAGCTTATGGATACAAATCTGCCTCTATTCCTTCGTTACCGCGCCATGTTTGCTCTCCGCGATCTGGCATCACCTCCCGACCTACCCACTGCTGTCCCCGCCGTTCTCGCTCTTGCTAAAGGATTGTCCGACTCGTCTGCACTCTTCCGACACGAGATCGCCTTTGTATTTGGCCAGCTTTCACACCCCGCTTCTATCCCAGCTCTGACTGAGGCATTGAGTAACGTCAACGAGGCTAGCATGGTTCGACATGAAGCGGCCGAGGCACTTGGCAGCCTGGGCGAGGAGAAAGGTGTCGAGGCTACCCTAAGAAAGTTCCTTCATGACAAGGAAAAGGTTGTTCGAGAGAGTTGCATTGTTGCGCTGGATATCGCTGAGTATGAGAAGGGTGGAGAGGCTGAGTATGCTTTGATTCCCGAGACCGCAGGAGTTTCTGTATGATTTATGAGTACGCTTGTGTTGTCGAGTATTGCGTCTAGTTGTTTTCATGCCACCTAAAAGTTAAATGTTAGATTAGTTGAAATAGATGGATTCGGGATTCTCACGAGTTGCCGCAATCGCAAAGGTAGATGACCGTTGATCCTTCATCTGCACCGCGCAATTGAACGTTGGTATACTTGACCTCTTCACGACCGCACTTGGGGCATGTTTCGTGAACTGTGCTATCGGTTTGCAAATTGTGTTTCTCAACAGCCTGGACACTTGACTGGAGCTTCTGCCTCAAGAAAGAAGGGAAATCGGAGGGTTTTGTTTGTGTAACGGTAACTTTGGAACCGGTATCTGCACAACCTGTTAGAGATCTTGCCAAATACAACACCAAGAGTACAAACCTCGATTCTCTGCGCCACAGCATTCGCAATGCAAAACATTTCGCTGAGTCCCTTTTGTTGCAGGCAACAGATTACCGCAGTCGGTACAAAAGACGAGAGTTCCGATCGCAGCCATTGTGAGTTGTGAGTGACTTCTGCACAATTGGAGAATTTGGTCGACTACTTGCGCAAGCTGAACAAATTCAAAGACAAAAAATTGGCCCAGCCATCATAGGCTCAAATCGAAGGTTGCAAGGGTCTTCCGGAAAAACTGACGAGGCAAGAGTGGGCCATGACGGGATAGCCTCTGAGTGGTGGTGCGCTTTGCGCACAGACCATTAGCTGTCTCGAAAACATCCAAGGAAAGTCCAAAGCTCGCGAGGCTGATCATGTTGGTTTCCCCAGGCTTTCCATGACCTCGTCGTTTACATTCACGCAAAGCGGGTAACAATGCTTAGCTGCATTTAATCCCGTTACTTTTTCAACCCAATCACCTTACCGCGACTCCGACTCCTTGCTTCCTGAGAACATATTTCCTTTGAATACGCGCTCAGAGCGTGTCTTTTGATCCTTACCTGACCCTATCCTGTCAATATCCGATGCGCTGGTATCCGTTTGCTCCTTCCTTTCGAACCAAGATATGCGATGAACCGCCTTCCCTCCTGCGACAATGAACAACACGCAGCAGCATGGGGCGGACCCAAATGGGCAGTTTGCTCAAGTGGGGGCTGAGGAGGGCATTGTTGCTCGTCCGTTCACACTCCAAGAGGCGCTTCCCTATTCACCACAGACATCGACTATTCCTCTCATTTCTGGTCAGTTATCACCGCTTCTCGATATACTCCGCCTAACTCTAGTCAGATATCATCCCCGACCCCGTTCTAGGCTCAGGCTCCCCTGCGCTCCCTCTGACTGACCTATTTCAAACACACGACTTCGACTACCTAAATAAGGAAGCAGCGGGCCATAATCAGATGCCACGCAACGTAAAGCAAGCGGTTGACCATGTCCTCCAAGAAATCAAACCAAGTCAACGAACACATTAGTATGATAACTATGCCGTGCATACTAAGAGCCACAATCTGACTGTCGAGTAGCAAGTTTACCACAATTTCAGGAATGAAATCGACCCCCCCTACCAGCAAGAGCCTGATTGATGGTTTGTCGCCGCTCACAAGAAATGTCTTCGATAAGGTGGGAGGTTATTTTAAGACGACAAAGCCCGTGGCTTCTGATGCCAAGCAGGTCAACGGTCAAGCGCCTGGCCACCCGACCCCCAAGCAACGATCAGCTTCAATAAACTCACCGAATCCTCCACAACCGTCCAACTTGCCGACGCATAACTCTAAAGCACACAAGTCGAACTCCGTTAGGATCGAGGTTGCGATACCATCTAAGAGACAATTTGATCCTTCAACTTATGTTGACGTGAGCGATGCGCCTCAGCAAGACTTTCCAGTTATTCCAGTTCAACATGAGCAACCGCAAATACAGCCGATGACACAGCCTCCAGCCACAGCAGCTCAGCTCCCTATCCAAGCTACCAGCGAAAATAACCAGAATGGGGCATTTCGAATTGAGCTATCAGCTGCCAATATCAATCGAGAAGAGTACATCGAGGTCGAAGCTCGCCCGGAGGACCCCCATTACCTATCGGTTCGAAAAGAGAGCCAACAAGCCTATTTTCATAGTCCAGATCTGATTGGAGAGAGCCTTGATCAGCGTCAACGCAGCGAGGCAGCGCTCCATGCACTTGACAAGCTTGTACGCGTTGTGTTCAATTCGGTTGGGCGAATGCTTGGAGAAGGACCCGGACAAGACGAAATTGTTTCTGTGACACCAGACCAAGAGGTTGCTATGACCGCCTCTTCGCAACAGAAGATGCATGGTGCTATTCAGAAGACAATTGCTCTAAGATGTTTCGACCGTGTACCAGTAGAGCATCTGACTCAAATCATCAAACTGAGTGATGCCAGCTTGAGGCAAGTTGAGAATCTGGAGATCCGAGTCGACGAGACTTGGGGCGAAGATGCCGTTGATACCTGGATGCAGCAACTCTCAGATGTGGAGACAATGCTGAAGTCAGCTCGCACATGCCTGCGCATTCTCTCGGGCGGACGAGAAGACAAGCAATTGTATTCAGAATCTGTTATCCAGAGATGCGCTGATATCTTCAGGAAGGTCACCGAGGACATTGTCATGCCTCTCGTGGAACTTCGGCCATCTGGACCTGCATCGGTTTTATTCAAGTTGCTTTCGAAGAACAAGAAGCCTATCGCAGCTGTCTTCCTCTCTTGCCAGAAGTTGTTCGCCTTGCTAGCAGAACTTGTTACCAAGATCGAGCTCTCAGAGTCAGTGATCAACTCAATGGAGTACACCGCCTCCCGACTCATTTTCATGGAGAATGCATACTTTGAGAAGGATTCTGTCTTGGGAGTTCAAAAGTTTGACGGGCTTCGGTCCGTGGCAATGGACATG